TAAATATTTAATAATTACCACCAACAAGTTCACAAAAAATGTTTTATATTGATTTTTTCACAGAATCCTTCATAGAGCTCCGGACCCCACGTGACTCTCAGTTAGTGGACGCCATTTTGGCATGCAAAAAAAGGTAAACAAACACGGATGTAACCATGAACATGAACGGGATCCGCTTGGATTTTACTTCGTTGGAGTTTACTTCACACTTTAAAACAGAAGAAATCGTTTTATATAGTCAGAAATTAAATAGACTAAACATCTCCGACCCTTACCGTGCCCCTGGGATACTTTTTAAAAACGCCAGAAGCTGTCGGAGCGGCCTTCTTACCGGCACAACACCGGACCTGACCGGGGAACCCCTTGGGATTCCCCCGGCTGGAGGAGCTGGGGAGAAGGTCTGGGACTCTCGACTCTACTGCCCGCTCCGACGCCAGAAGCTGTCGGAACAGACTTCTTACCGGCACAACACCGGACTGACCGGGGAACCCCTTGGGATTTACCCGGAGGAGCTGGCTCCGGCGGCTGGGGAGAGGGAAGTCACGCTACTGCCCCCGCAACCCGACTCCGGATACGCGGATGAAAATGGATGGATGGACGGACAAATAACAGATTTACACGTAAGCAGTCTCGGTGAGACAGATAATAGCAATCCAAAGTGCTTTTATGTGTGATCTGATCAACCATTGCTTAAAAATGAAATACAGCTTAGCCGGTTAATTGCTGTGATCATAAAACACGGAAACGGCAGCACGCAGAACTCACGAGGCAACGTTTTACGTGATGTTTACTTGTTGCTATGAGTAATAAGACAGAAAAAGCCACGCCAAAATAAGTTTAGGAAGCCCACTAAGAATCATAATAAAAGCATTTAAAATAAATACCATACACAGTTGAGGAAACGTTGGTTTAAATACCTGATATGAAGCGGTCGCTGCATAAGCGAAAACCTTTACTCTCGGGATCCCACAGTTTCATTTTCGCCCGGTCACTAGTGCATTTTATTACAATGATCCAACGTTTGTGGCGCTCCGGATCCTGGGGAATCCTGTAGAAGGCTCATTCCTTATGTCGTCCGCGTCTGTTCTGCATCCTGGGGCACAACAGGAATCTACCATATTTCCCGTTTGATTGAGTTTTCTGATAATAACAAATAGTCCAGCTGCCGGCTTCTGCATGCCAATATGGCGCCGTTTCGATTTGAACTGTTGCATGCCGGGAGAAGTGACGTCAACTCCCGGAGCTCTATAACCTTTGATTAACAAAAGATGGCTTCATTTTTTGCAAGACAAAACAGAAGTGGTGAAACTATGGGAGTTGAATAGGAAAATAACGTTGAGTCCGTTTTTTACTTTTCACTGTAAATTAAACGATCATAATAGCGTTGTTATTACATATGAAAAAAACAAACACCATCCAAAATTATGCCATTGTAGCTTTATAGATAATCCTAATCCTCGAGTGTTTGTAGAAAAGGAAAAGGACAGTGGTAATGTGAAAGTGCAGTATGAGTACAGATCACGTAAAGAAACGAGTCCCAGCTCAGGGCGGAGCAGTGACGGAGCGGATGGCAGTGGAGCTTGAAGCCGTCATTGAGAGCTGCGTCTAAAACAGACAGCAGTTCACTCTCTATTCATTTAGTATCATTACAGGCCTCCTAAGAGCCCTAATGGGCCTAATAAAAAGACAGAGGTTATAATGAAACTTGAGGACCCTATATGAGTAAAAGGAGCAGGTGGAGGGGAGGGGGGGGGGTGCCAGGGGACCTGGAGAACAAGGAGGCCAGAAGAGAGAGAGAGAGAGAGAGAGAGAGAGAGAGAGAGAGAGAGAGAGAGAGAGAGAGAGAGAGAGAGAGAGAGAACATGATAACAGAAAATGTGAAAAAAAAAACAATCAAAAGGGAGTAAAGTGGTGCTTAGAACTGTGTGAGGATTAAATATAACTTGAACAATCGTCTGGTTAGGCTGAAATTTGATTTTCACAACGCTAAAAATAACGCAAATAACAGCTTTCAATTGTTATTTTGTCCCCAGTTTAGTGCAGACTTTCTTCAGGGTTTCTTCTCCACATCTGGATGCTGAAGGACTTCTACATTAATGAAGCTATCTGCACTAATGACTCCTATTACCTCATCGTTAGGGCCATTTGCTTGGCGGGTTATGGGTGTAATGGTGGGCGTGGACTGTTAAACTGTAGGGACCCCTTTTCGTCTTAATTATTACTTAGTGACACTCTGACCTGGTGGCCTCGGGTAAAGTGTCCCCAGAGTGCCATGCCGTCCATTAATATCGCTGCTGGTAGATCTGAATTCAGATGGTTCAAGCTTTCAGGATCAATAGTGATACTTAGAAAATGTGACAGAAAATAAGGCAAACAATTTATCTTGCTTTTTCACAGCAGAACAAAACTTTACAACCAACAAGAGCGAAAGTAAAAAAGTTCACTCTTCGTAGAAATGGGTGTGTATTGGCAAAAATCCAATGGTATGATATGTATAACAATACAGGATGGGGCGGAGACAATACGATATATTAAAGTCCCATTAGTCATCACACACTGGTGAAATTCATCTCTTTATTTGAACTATTTAGGGGTTTACTCACCCCCAATACAACCCCTTAAAGCCGAGTGTCAAGCAGAGAGGCATTGGGTACCATTTAAGGTCTTTGGGATGACCCAACCGGGATTTGAACCCCGATCTCCCAGTCCCAGGGTGGACACTCTACCACTAGGCCACTGAGAAGGTAATACCATACCATAAAAGCCAAATAATAGTCTAAATTTATTTAGAAAATTCAGGTCAGATGTTTACAAGTAGAAGTGGTTGATACACCAAAATTTTACCAATGCCGAAATATACCGACGCCCTTTTGCCCATGTCAGTACAATAGGTATTTGAAAAAAAAAAAAAAAAGAAAAGACGTGTGTTGGTCGCCGATTTTCATGTTCCTTCAAGAAGCCATGCTACGAACTGGATAGGGAGGAGTCATGTTGTTTAGTCACATGACTCCGCCCCATCTGGTCTGTAACAAGAAGTGAAAGACAGTTCAAATGTTGAAGTAGCGGGCAGCGGACACTGGCATTAGCGTCTGAATCCCAAATGTTACCAAACTGTTGTCGGAGAATTTTTGCGGGAACAGGCTTCTCCTTAATCAAATGTACCACCGCTACGTCTAACTGCCACTGTACGGGTAGTTATCGTCCATTTATCGCTATCGAAGTGAGCTGCTCAATAAATTGTGGTGTTGATTTGTGGCAGTTTCACCCAGCCATACATCCAAGAAACATCCAGTGCTTTCTCAAGATCTTGTTGTTCCATCAGACTGAAGGTGGTAAAAACTGCTGCCACCTAGCAGTCGGAGTTTGAATTGCACCACATAAAGGAAATGCAATAAATGTTGGCATGTAAATTCTCAAAAAAAAAAAGATAGATGCACTGCTGCTGTTAAATATTGATTCAGTATTTTGAAAACGAAATATCACAATATTTCAGTTTATTGGTATGTTCTTACCTAATAAATAGCTCCATTAATAACATGCACATGCGAATCACCACCAGTGATGATTCTGCTCCTCTGGCAAAATCTAAGACCAGCTTTAGATTTCAAATTGCAAAAATAAATGTATCAGTTTCGATGTGAGAATACATTTTTGTGTTTACTGAATTGATCCCAGTTAACTGAGCTAAAACACCCATGAATCCACGTGTATTTTAGCTTTTTAGAAAATTTTAAACAACCATTTTGGGAAAAACTTTACTGTAAAGTTGGAACACCCCCTTGAATTTTCTTTAAACTGAATCTTCTGTGTAACGTAAGTGTTGTTTAGTTAAAATTCAGTGGATACATAATTAAATGTAAGACAACACAAACTGCAATGAAACAGAAAAACAACAAATCCATTAACAGCAGCAAAGCGTTGTCGGTGTTCAGAGTGAAACGCTCTCCTAACACTTGCATTTTAGCATCATGTAACCTGAATGTCAGGTGGACCATATGATTAGTGGCCTGTTTTGTGTTTAATTACTTGTGACAGCGACTAATGCTGATGCAGCAGTTCATTGTCTCTCAGACGATCAAACATTATTCTGATGCTGAGAACAGAGATTAGGGGAAACCCTAAAGAAAAAATAATGTAGAAAAAAAATTTAATTCTTTTATGTGAGAAAAATGTATTTTACATGTAAAAATGTTGTTAGTTTAAGAGTTTATAACACAGCGTGACTTACAAGGATCCAAGTTCCCAAACTTTCCAGAACCAGTAATGAGAAAAATATTTCTAAATCTAATAAAAAAAAGTGCATACAACTTATTTTAACAGAATTATAATGAGATTTGAAAAACACACTTTTTCTTTAAACATACTGAAGTCTGTAGTGTGTGTTCATTCTGATAAAAATAAAGAGAAAGAGGAAAATCAAACATTTACATAACAACATGTTATTTAGGAATCCATCAACAAGGGAGGAAGAATTTCCCTAAATTTTTCAGGATTTCCCTAAAATAAATCAATCCAACCAGCGGTCCGGTTCTATGTAGTCTCCTTAAGTGAGTAAGAGGATTGCTTTTCTTTAAGTGTGGAATTGAAATGGAACACATTGACACAGAGGCGGGCCCCGGGCCCCAGACTCTCCCACCCCACCCAGTCAAATCAAAGGTTTCAGCTGCTCTTTATTGATTAGATTTTAGAATATGGGACTAGCTTCTCCCCTAGGTGCAGATGAGCAGCAGATGTTAATTATCCTGTGTGTGTGTGTGTGTGTGTGTGTGTGTGTGTGTGTGTGTGTGTGTGTGTGTGTGTTGGAGGGTTGTGTACAACAGTTGGTAAACTACTTGAGTAATCTAAAATCCTGATGTTTGAATTATTTAAACAGCAAATGTTTTCTCATACATTTACTTTTTCTGTCACCACAACAACTGGACTGATTTTTTAGTTGATTCTTTCTGCCTTTTGTTTACAGAAATTCAAATTTTTTAGAAGATGCAGGGGTGATCCGTCACCTGGGATGTGTTTGGCCCAGCCGATGATGACCACCAGCTCACGGTCAGCGAGGTCACAGAGGGTGGTCAAAGCCTTGATATCCCCATCAGGCACGGTTGGGTCGGGCATGGCGTAGATCTTCTCCGGTTCCACAACCAGTAGATGGGAAACTATCTTGGACACTGGCAGAGTGAAATAAAACAGAGAGAAAGAAGTTAATTTTAAATATACTTTAGCAAGTCAAGCGGTAAGCTGCCCGAGTCATGAATATGATCAGTTTTGGTGAGCACAATTACAGAATGGTAAATGGCCTGTATTTGATATAGCGCCTTCTAGAGTCCTGGAACCCTCCAAGACACTTTACAACACAATCAGTCATTCACCCATTCACACACACATTCACACACTGGTGGGATGAGCTACGATGTAGCCACAGCTGCCCTGGGGGGCACTGACAGAGGCGAGGCTGCCGAGCACTGGCGCCACCGGTCCCTCCGACCACCACCAGCAGGCAACGTGGGTTGAGTGTCTTGCCCAAGGACACAACGAAAGCGACAGACTGAGTGGGGCTCGAACCTGCAACCTTCCGACTACAGGACGAGCGCTTAACTCCTGTGCCACCATCGCCCGAACATTCAATTCTGCTTTTAACACTTTTGTTGTAATTTCTGAATATGCAAATGTAAAAACATGCCACATGCAATGTTTAAAGCTGGGGTATGCAGATAAAAATGATAGTTACTCTAAAATTGCTTCAATTTGACCATCTGACTCTGTTCTATGATATCAAGCAGGTACTCTTTCATATTTTATATTTCCCTCCAAGTCTTTCCCCACAGTCTCCAACCTGAGACCAATAAAACTGCATGCTCACAAGAGGGAGTTGTCAATAAGAATGTGCCCCAGTTCCCAGCATGCACTGCAGGGTGATGCAATGACGTGCATAGACATGAATACGTAAAAGTATCATTGGGCTCTGGAGCATTGCCGCCATATTGGATGGGTCCCTCACTATCTAAACACTACTAGAGTCTTTGCAAAGTGAGCAAATATGATTATTATTTTGTGCGGCCTATAGTTGCAACAGCTGGTGCACTATTGTAAACTGATCATGTGCCATTACTATTGACTTAGCCTACCTATTGGGATTTAAATTTTTTTTATTAAATTTATTAGTATTAGAATTATCATGTCATGCCATGTGTCTGATTTTGTGAAAAAGCTTCATAAAATGTGTTTTTTAGTTTAGTAAACTGCTTCCTGCAGTAGAAATAAATGAACTGGGCGTGAATAGAGACCCATTAAAGATGGTGGTGCAGCTGCCTCGCCAACACCTAGGCAACACCAGTCCACGTCACGTCCACATGTACAGTATGGTGCCTGTGCTGACGCACAGTCAGCTTAGCACACCAACCTAGCTTGAAGGCTAACTCAACCTGCATTGAATTAAAATCAGTCTGTAAACATCAAGCTAAGAGTGGAAAAAGGGGAGGGAGAGGAGTGAAAATAGATTTATTCTTTGTGAATTTGAGCTAAGTAATTAGCATAGCATTCAAGGTTACGCTACATCAGACTATTGTTTGAGCTTGTTGTAGCATTAGCAGCGATCGCGAGTGCTGGATTTCTGTCAGTTTTAGGTGTTTCCCTGCTTGAATACTGCAGATTTGATAAAAATGAATGACTATCAGCATTGGCCCTGGAACCCAAGTCCTTGAGAGGGGGTGGACACTCTCCTTTGCTGGAGTTGCTCCAGGTGAGAGGCGGAGGGCTGGGGTTGGCTTTTTGTTAGCCCCAAGACTCTCTGCCTGTGTGTTGGGGTTTACCCCGGGGGACGAGAGGGTAGCTTCCCTGCGTCTTCGGGTCGGGGAACGGGTCCTGACTGTTGTTTGTGCTTATGGGCCAAATATCTGTTCAGAGTACCCACCCTTTTTGGAGTCTCTGGGACGAGTACTCCATCAGGGGACTCCATTGTCCTGCTGGGGGACTTCAATGCTCACGTGGGCAATGACAGCATGACCTGGAGGGGTGTGATTAGGAGGAACGGCCCGCCTGATCTGAACTTGAGTGGTTTTTCGTTATTGGACTTCTGTGCAAGTCGCAGGTTGGCCATAACGAACACCATGTTCAAACATAAGAATGCCCATCGGTACACTTGGTACCAGGGCAGCCTAGGTCGCAGATCGATGATAGACTTTGTAGTCGTATCATCTGACCTGCGGCCATATGTTTTGGGCACCCGAGTGAAGAGAGGAGCAGAGCTGTCAACTGATCACCACCTGGTGGTGAGTTGGATCAGATGGCAGGAGAAGATGCCGCGTAGACCTGGCAGACCCAAACGCATAGTGAGGGTCTGCTGGGAACACCTGGCAGAAGAACCTGATAAGACGGTCTTCAACTCCTACCTCCGGCAGAGCTTTGACCGCATCCCGAGAGCAGTGGGGGACATTGACTCCGAGTGGGCCTTGTTCCACTCTGCGATTGTTGAGGCGGCTGTTGCTACCTGTGGTCGCAAGGTCGCCGGTGCCAGTCGTGGTGGCAAGCCCTGTACCCGCTGGTGGACACCAGAGGTTCGGGGAGCCATCAGGCTGAAGAAGGAGGCCTACAGGGCGTGGCTGGTCTGTGGGTCTCCGGAGGCAGCAGACAGGTACCGGATAGCCAAGCGGGGTGCAGCAGTGGCAGTAGCCGAGGCAAAATCTCGGGTGTGTGAGGAGTTTGGTGAGGCCATGGAGAAAGACTATCGATCAGCTCCAAAGAGGTTTTGGCAAACTGTCCGGCGCCTCAGGAGAGGGAGGCAGCAACTCACTCACACTGTTTACAGTGGGGATGGGGAGCTGCTGACGTCAACTGGGGCTATAGTCGGACGGTGGAAGGAATACTTTGAGGAGCTCCTCAATCCCACCTACGCGCATTCTGAGGAGGAACCAGAGCCGGGAGACCTGGGGATGGACTGTCCAATCTCGGGGGCAGAAGTTGCTGAGGTAGTCAAACAACTACACAGCGGCGGAGCCCCGGGGGCCGATGAGATTCGTCCTGGGTATCTCAAGGCTATGGATGTTGTAGGGCTGTCGTGGTTGACACGTCTCTGCAACATTGCGTGGTCATCAGGGGCAGTTCCTGTGGAGTGGCAGACCGGGGTGGTGGCCCCCATCTTTAAGAAGGGTGACCTGAGGGTGTGTTCCAACTACAGGGGGATCACACTCCTCAGCCTCCCTGGAAAGGTCTACTCCAAGGTACTGGAGAGGAGGGTCCGATCGATAGTTGAATCTCAGATTGAGGAGGAGCAACGTGGTTTTCGTCCTGGCCGTGGAACTGTGGACCAGCTCTATACCCTTGCAAGGGTGATGGAGGAAGCATGGGAGTTTGCCCAACCAATCCACATGTGTTTTGTGGATTTGGAGAAGGCTTATGCTGTGTCTCCAGAAGCACCCTGTGGGGGACGCTCCAGGAGTATGGGGTGGGTGGCTTTCTGTTAAGGGCCATTCAGTCCCTTTACCAGAGGAGCGTGAGTCTGGTCCGCATAGCCGGTAGTAAGTCGGACCTGTTCCCGGTGAGGTTTGGACTCTGCCAGGGCTGCCCTTTGTCACCGGTTCTGTTCATTACCTTTATGGACAGAATTTCTAGGCGCAGCCGTGGTGTGGAGTGTGTCGAGTTTGGTGGCAGGAGAATCTCGTCTCTGCTTTAAGTGGATGATGTGGTCCTCCTAGCTTCATCCAGCTCTGACCTTCAGCTCTTGCTGGGTAGGTTCGCGGCCGAGTGTGAAGCGACTGGGATGAGGATCAGCACCTCCAAATCTGAGACCATGGTTCTCTACCGGAAAAGGGTGGCTTGCCAACTCTGAGTCGGGAGAGAGGTCCTACCTCAAGTGGAGGAGTTTAAGTATCTCTGGGTCTTGTTCACGAGTGAGGGTAGGAGGGATCGGGAGATCGACAGGCGGATTGGTTCGGCGTCTGCAGTGATGCGGACGCTGAGCCGATCTGTCATGGTGAAGAGGGAGCTGAGCCAGCAAGCCAGGCTCTCGATTTACCGGTCGATCTACGTCCCAATCCTCACCTATGGTCAAGAGCTTTGGGTAATGACCGAAAGAACGAGATCGCGAATACAAGCGGCCGAAATGATTTTCCTCCGTAGGGTGGCCGGGCTCAGCCTTATGGGCCATTCCCATCTGTACTGGGTCGGCCTGGGCCGGATAGCGTAGGTTGTTTACATATCTGGGTGGCCTGGTATTTTTCCGGGCCAACCAAGGCTCATTGTCAGCCCTCTTCTCAAGGGGGTCTGCTTCAGGCCGACCAGGGCCAACACACCCACTGCTGACAGCAAATTCACACCTTCCATTAGAGCAAGCCTCTGATTGGTGGGTAGAATCAGCCCACATGGGCAAGGATGTGTGGAATCAACCGGGCCAGGCTGGGGCCGACTGGGGCTACCCGACCCGGGCCGACCCGGTACAGGTGGAAATGGCCCATTAGAGATAGGGTGAGGAGCTTGGACATTCGGGAGGGACTGGGAGTAGAACCGCTGCTCCTCCGGATCGAAAGGAGTCAGTTGAGGTGGTTTGGGTATCTGGTCAGGATGCCTCCTGGACGCTTCCCTGGGGAGGTGTTTCGGGCATGTCCTGCCGGCAGGAGGCCCCCGGGTCGACCCAGGACACGTTGGAGAGGTTACATCTCCAATATGGTCCAGGAACGCCTTGGGGTCCTGCCGGAGGAGTTGGTGGAGGTGGCCGGGGAGAGGATGGTCTGGAGCTCCCCAGTTGGGATGCTGCCCCCGCGACCCGGACCCGGATAAGCGGAGGAAGACGACGGCGACGAATGACTAGCAGCTCCTGCAAAATTTGATAAAGGCTGAGGAGACAATTTAGCAGTTAGAATCAGGTGTGATTGAACAGCAACACAACAAAAACATTACTTTTGATGTAGCACTACAAGGCTACTTGTGTGTGAATGTGTGCTATGAGGTGTAGCTTTTCATATTCAGCTTGATGACATCATACAAACAACCACAGTTTTAATAAAACATTAAACTAATATTTAAAGCTTAATACTTACAGGGTTTTTTGGCTGGAGGAGGGATGGTGAGTCCAAGATAGGAGCCATTCTCTGCATCCAACCTCCGTTTATACTTCTGTCGCCCCCCTCTCACTCGGTCCAGACGCACACCTGCAGGACAAAAGGTCACAGAGAACGTGGCTGCTTAGAAGAATCAAATTAAATAAAGTTATAGTCAGAAATTTTATTTTTTGAACACATCATATTTAGTCATTGCTCTCCTACTTTTGCTCAGCATCCATGAGGACATTATTTCATCTTTACTGTGTTTTTATAGCCGAGACGACAATAAAGCTCTACTTGACTCGACGCACCGTGATATTTAAGTACAACCATTCTGTTTACAGCTTCACTTCAGCTAAATCTTCATTATTACATTTAAACACAAAGGACAGCTTTATGATGGGATATTTGCTAATATAATCATTGTTAATCATAACGCTATGTCATTTATATTAAAGCTTATTATTGGGGAACATCAGCTTTTTTTCTGCTGAGTTATAAAACTCAACAATTAAAACACTTGTGGTGTTTTTGCAGCGTAAAACTGACATTTTAATTTGAGTTCTAATGAGTTTATTACTTTACAGGGGATTTATAATTGGTCAGTTTATTTCTGAAGGTAAATTCAGTGAAAGGAAATTTTTATGCCTTCATTTTGACACTTTTGACTCAGCCGTTTAGTGGAGGTCCCAGCATATATCTGAGACACTTCTGGGATTGTCTCCAAAGCCATCACAAAGGACACTAAATGCTCCACACACCTTACGAGCTGAACCCACACCAAGGGGCGAGCGGACGGGGAAACAAACAGATTTTTACATGGTCAAGTGGAATTGAGTCATGTGAGATTTCCCAGTGACTCGCATAAATTCCTTTGACTCCCCTGGAAACAAAAGAATCAGATTAGGATGGTCTTTCAATTTCCTGACACCGACTATCCACTAACCTAATTACCCAGCATGCCCAGAGGGAGCCCATTCTTCCCAGCAAACACAGTGAGATCATTTTATGCCTCGCAGATTGAAGCTAAATCGAGAGCCCCTCTTCTAACACAGCTTTCCATTTGCACGCCTTAAAGTAATCAATAAGGCTTGTAAATAGATTTCTTGTTCTTTGAACACATGTGGATGTGGTTGTAATAAGTTGAGGCCAGCGAGGAGCTGGTGCTGCTTGGGCTGTTGTACTTGTTACTATTACTTAAGTTAAATTAAAATTATACATCTGGAAAATGTGTGCATGCACACATCCCAAAACCCAAAGCTTCTAGCTTTCCACCCATCTTGAAAAATCGAATTCAAGCACTTCAGGGGAAATTTCGAGCATTTACAGAATCTTAATCATCCTGTCTAAAGTGGTAATTAACTCATTCTCTGCCAATGACGACTAAAGTCGGCAGTTGCATTTTTTGACTGTGTGGGCGTCGAAACGAGCCCCGCACCGTGAGAACAAACATCCCATCTCTAAAGCTGATCTTCATCCACATACGTCACACGTCACATGATCAGGAAGCAGAAAGTCCATGTGTTAGGAGATCGTTTTGGGCCGCTGCTGTAAAAAAAAGTGAGGCGCAAACCGGAAAAGCTTCTACCGATCTCAATTCGACAACGGATTATGAAAGAACAGATATCGCTCGAAACACGCAGATTCTTCCTGATATAAGAGTTGAGTCTACTCTTTGTTTTGTTAGTTTTGGCGTTGACATCATCATAGAGTGCAACGTTCTGTGACTCCTATAAAAACAGTGAAAACGCTGAAAAACGCTGGCCGCAAAGGGCTTTTTTGATCAGGAAACGCTGGCAGTGAATGGGATAAAATTGTTCAAATGCTGGTGAAAGGTCATCCAGGTCATGGTAATCCAAAGTGTTCAACTAGACTTCTTTGGTTCCTTGAAGACTATGTCAAACCTCATCAATTCTGACTGGAAAACGAGCGAGCCAGGCTTGTAAACTGTTGCTGTCTGTTGTTACTTAACAATCTGAAACTACCTATGAATACCCGTCCTCCATGCACCCAAGGAGTTGTTTATGTTGTTAGGTCCTATTGTGTTGTAATGGTTGTGTTGATTACAGGTGCTGGCCAGTAAATTAGAATATCATCAAAAGGTTGAAAATATTTCAGTAATTCCATTCAAAACGTGAAACTTGTACATTATATTCATGCAATGCACACAGACCAATGTATTTCCGATGTTTATTACGTTTAATTTTGATATTTATAGGTGACAACCAATGAAAACATCAAATCTGGTATCTCAGAAAATTAGAATATTCTAAAGGCCAATGAAAAAATGTTTGTTTCTCTAATGTTGGCCAACTGAAAAGAATGAACATGAAAAGAATGTGCATGTATAGCACTCAATACTTAGTCGGGGCTCCTTTTGCCTCAATAACTGCAGTAATGCGGCGTGGCATGGACTCGATCAGTCTGTGGCACTGCTCAGGTGTTATGAGAGCCCAGGTTGCTCTGATAGTCGTCTTCAGCTCCTCTGCATTGTTGGGTCTAGCGTATTGCATCCTCCGCTTCACAATACCCCATAGATTTTCTATGGGGTTAAGGTCAGGCGAGTTTGCTGGCCAATCAAGGACAGGGATACCATGGTCCTTGAACCAGGTGCTGGTGGTTTTGGCACTGTGTGCAGGTGCCAGGTCCTGTTGAAAGGTGAAGTCTGCATCCCCATAAAGTTGGTCAGCAGCAGGAAGCATGAAGTGCTCTAAAACCTCCTGGTAGACGGCTGCATTGACCCTGGACCTCAGGAAACAGAGTGGGCCAACACCGGCAGATGACATGGCACCCCACACCATCACTGACGGTGGAAACTTTACACTGGACCTCATGCAACGTGGATTCTGTGCTTCTCCGCTCTTCCTCCAGACTCTGGGTCCTTGATTTCCAAAGGAAATGCAGAACTTGCTTTCATCAGAAAACATAACTTTGGACCACTCAGCATCAGTCCAGTCCTTTTTGTCCTTGGCCCAGGCGAGACGCTTCTTGCGCTGTTTCTTGTTCAAGAGTGGCTTGACACACGGAATGCGACACCTGAATCCCATGTCTTTCATGAGTCTCCTCGTGGTGGTTCTTGAAGCGCTGACTCCAGCTGCAGTCCACTCTTTGTGGATCTCCCCCACATTTTTGAATGGGTTTGTCGTCACAATTCTCTGCAGGGTGCGGTTATCCCTAGAGCTTGTACACTTTTTTCTACCACATTTTTTCCGTCCCTTCGCCTGTCTGTTAATGTGCTTGGACACAGAGCTCTGCGAACAGCCAGCTTCTTTAGCAATCACCTTTTGTGTCTTGCCCTCCTTGTGCAAGGTGTCAATGATTGTCTTTTGGACAGCTGTTAAGTCAGAAGTCTTCCCCATGATTGTGGTGCCTTCAAAACAAGACTGAGGGACCTTTTAAAGGCCTTTGCAGGTGTTTTGAGTAAATCAGCTGATTAGAGTGGCAGCAGGTGTCTTCTATATTCAGCCTTTTCAGAATATTCTAATTTTTTGAGATACCAAATTTGGAGTTTTCATTAGTTGTCACTTATGAATATCAAAGTTAAATGTAATGAACATTGGAAATACATTGGTCTGTGTGCATTGCATGAATATAATGTACAAGTTTCACGTTTTGAATGGAATTACTGAAATATTTTCAACCTTTTGATGGTATTCTAATTTACTGGCCAGCACCTGTAGATGCAGGAGAATGTGATCAAGAATTAAACTGTTTTGGAATTAGGTTTAGGGCTAAACAGCAACAGTTCATAAGCTCGACTTTTCCATATTCGAGTCAGAACTGACAAAGCTCCTCAGATGAGAAGCGAAACGCCTTCATGAAACCAAAGAAGTCCATTTGCCTTCATTTGAACCCTTTGGCTAGTTTTAAAGAATCATTTGGGGATTCAAATGGTTAGTATTTCACCAAATAAAAGGATATTGATACCTTGGTTTAAAATAATGAATATATTTTGTCATATTTAACTAAAACTGTTAAGTGATAAAATAAAAGGTTTGAAAAATGAAAGTCAACATGGAAGTTTGACCTTTTAAATGCTGTAGAAACATTTTCTAGCATTTTCATGAGTTTGTCCATGACATCACACACACACACACACACACACACAAACACACACACACACACACACACACACACACACACACACACACACACACACACGCACGCACGCACGCACGCACGCACGCACACACGCACACACACACACACGCACGTGCACACGTGCACAGACACACACACGCGTTTTCCTGCTGTGGGCTGCCAGGTCACATGGTTGCAACAACAACGTGACAAACAGCCAGAGTTCAAATTCCAAGATCTGCAGGGGCTGTTTGTACTGGAACATCCGACTGGACCAGGATTAATAGACATCAAGAGGAATTAGAAGCTCTGTGCAACAACAGTTTCACTTTACCGCTCAACAACATGAAACGGTCAAGACCTGAAGCGAGAGGGTGGAGCGACAGAGAGAAAAACGGATGAATGGTTCAGATGGTGCTGAAGAACGGGGAGGGTTAGGGAACGAGACGGAGGGAGCTGTTGTTTTTGGCTGAATATATCAGATTTCTGCAAGATTGTTGTTTTTTTTCCTTCTTCTCAGTCCTCCAGTCTGTCAGTCTGGCTCTGTGGCTCATCCTCTCAGCATCAGGTGTACATCTCCACCCTGACGGTCAGCCTGTCCCAGCCAGTGCCTGACCTGTGCTCCATGGATTATGTACACCCCCACCGCACATGTGACACGGAGCAGCATGGAGAATCCGACCACAACAAGACAGCTGGATGAGGCCCCTTGTGTGAGGCTGGGGAACGGGGGGTTACTGTCAGCACAACATTCCACGCTTCATATTTACATATCAGCCTTCAAGTTTCAAGACAGAAAAAACATATTTAAACGACAACCAGGAGATCCTGGTATACCAGGCACACATCTTTGTTTCTGTTGTCTATGTAGAAATCATTAAGCCAAACTCTAAATGCATAGAGTGAGGTTATGAGGTAAAACAGGTGCCCTAACAGTAATAAATCAACAAAGATCACACTCTTTTAGCGTATGCCGCCTGACAGTTCATCCCTGTAATGAGTGCTTTTATTTATGTGTTGAAAGACGA